GCATAGCATATATAGTGTATATATATATATATATATACACATATATATATATAGATATACACTATATTGCCAAAAGTATTGGTGCACCCCTCCAAATCATTGGATTCAGGTGTTTCAATCACCTCCATGACCACAGAGTCAATAGCTACAGACCCCCAAACTTTGTGTGACCTTCAGATTGGCACAACAACAGTGCTTTCGCTCGTCATCTCGTCTCGTAAACAGAACAACTTTAGCCTAGAAATAGTCTTATTTTTCGTTTATGTTCCACTCTCCCATTTCTTTTTCTTTTATATTCCGTATGCGGTTATGATAAAGCAGGTCAAGGGGACTCCCAAAATTTGTGGAATGAGGTTATGGATCCACTTCGAAAGTGTCCAAAGCAATTTTTTTTTTTAACTTTTAAGTAGAAAGAAAGCCGTCTGTATGTACAAAGGCAGTCAAGTCTTCTCCTGCATTGGTTGGTAATATTGTCAGAAACCGTAGCGAGTTTGCCTCGTCCCTTGAGGTCTTATGGACGTTTTAGAACGTTTATTAAGTTTTTGCTTTTCTTTCTTTTTTTTTTTTCTTTGCCGCCGAACTGCACATGATGGGTGCTGTTAATGAAGTACATGTCCAAAGACGTGGATGGAGCTTGGTGCAAATTATGTCGATCCAGGCCAACGGGGTGACTGGTGACTCTTCTCGGTGAGTTGACTAATAGGTTCACTTTAGAAGCCATTCATTCACTAGGAGGAAATACAAATGACAAAGTCAATCGTGATTTGTATTCGGTTATTTGCAAACAAGGCAATCACATTGTCTTAAGAGGGCTGAAGCTATAAGTTATAAGATGAATAGCATGTTGGTTAATATTGATCTGCAGCTTTGGAACCTGCTCTGCATTAACCCAAACTTCTCCGTCTAATAGTCATTTTTGAAGCTGAACCCAAGGTACACAGATAAATAACCAGCTGACATATACATAGAGAAGATGTTCTACCTGCCAGTTCTGATATGTATTATAACGTGTTCTACCTACCAGTTCCAGTATAGATTGCCATTCTCTCGGTTATGCTGAGCAGGGATGAGGTTGGGGTTTGGCGCTACCATGAGTTTTCCCGGGATTCATGACGCACGTGAATTGCGAACAGTTGACCAAATAGTTGGGAGGTTCCTCACCGGAAATTAGGAGCCACTTACAGTGCAGTGAAGGAATGCATAGTCCACCTCCCTTTCTTTAAAAGGGTGGGCTCACAGCAGCAATATTGATAGGGTGGGCTCACAGCAGCCATATTGATAGGGTGGGCTCACAGCGGCCATATTGATAGAGTGGGGTCACAGAAGTCATATTGATAGGGTGGGCTTACAGCAGCCATATGGACATGGTGGGCTTACAACAGCAATATTGATAGGGTGGGCTCACAGCAGCCATATTGATAGGGTGGGCTCACAGCGGCCATATTGATAGAGTGGGGTCACAGAAGTCATATTGATAGGGTGGGCTTACAGCAGCCATATGGACATGGTGGGCTTACAACAGCAATATTGATAGGGTGGGCTCACAGCAGCCATATTGATAGGGTGGGCTCACAGCGGCCATATTGATAGAGTGGGGTCACAGAAGTCATATTGATAGGGTGGGCTTACAGCAGCCATATGGACATGGTGGGCTTACAACAGCAATATTGATAGGGTGGGCTCACAGCAGCCATATTGATAGGGTGGGCTCACAGCAGCCACATTGATAAGTTAAACATTTTAGCGCCCAAATGCATAACTTTACATTTTTCTATATTGAACCTCATCTGCCATGTATTTGCCCACCCCACTACTTTATGAAGGTCTTCCTGTAATGTTGCTATGTCCTGCGTTGCCTTTACTACTCTGCATATTTTTATATCATCAGCAAACACTTAAAATTTAGCTATTTAAACCAAACTCAATATCGGTAATAAACAACCTGAACAGTATTGGGCCTAAGACAGAAGCCTGGGGCACACAACCCCCAACCCTACACCATCTAGAAAATGAGAAATGTATCTATACTCTGTTTGAGGATAGCTTGCCTATTTGCCCTTCAAATAGCCAGAATTAAATAATAAGATTAACCCCCCAATGGATTTCAGCGGGGTTTGATGCAAAATATGCAACCTTGAAGTTCCACCAAGATTGGCCAAACTGTTCACAAAGCGAAACCTGCCAGATTTGCTCATCCGTAATGTTGAGGAACATTAAAGTTGACCTTGCAGAAAAAAGCAAGGTGTGCTTATTAGATCACGGCTGCGGCATAATCGTAGCGGAAAAGATGCCTGTAAAGGTAAAAGTCAAATTATATACTTACCTTACGACTATGGCACCCAGGTAAGGCTGAGGCCATGCTCCTTCCAGCTAGATCCTGGAGACTTTGAGGGACCCATATCATGCTAGAAGATACTCTGGCACTCTAATGGAGTGTCTTCTCTTGAGATTTGGGCTACTCATTGTTCCCCAGGAACATTGCCACAGCGATACTGACCCAGGAATGTGGATGATGGGGGCCAGGTAAATGAATAATCAAACTTTTTTTCCTTACAGGTACTTTTTTTCAATTACTATAATACAGCAATCTTAACAAGGGGAGGAAACTTGGCTCTTATAAGCGGACCTTGTATCTTACTGCAAGGCCTACAGATTGCCGGGGAGTGCCTAAAGGAGACTTTTACTGAACAAGTTTGAATACTACCATTGCCTACCTCTCCTGAAAATACTAGGTCTATGGCTATCATGCGGAATCAGTGGTTTCAGTATTATATTAGGCACGGACCCAGAACAAGTATGCAGATTAAGGACTGTGATTTCACTCCAACTTTGGTGAACATGCTTGTTCTTTATCAGTGCTCTATAGTACGGAAGCCATTGGATGAGCATACCAGCCAGGCAACTGGTATATACGAAAGAAGTTCAACAATATACACTGAGTGGCCAGTTTATTATGACCACCTGACGTTTGTAGGCAAATTAGCTATAATTAGCTATAATTTCACGCTGAAGTAGCTAGAGGGCCAGAACATTATAAATAGGGAAGCAGGTTGTTTACCACGACAGTAGAAGTGATTTTTTTCGGAAGATACGGGTAAACAACGCGATTTAACAGCCTTTGAACGATGGATGATTGTTGGCACTCGGAGCCATGGAGCGAGTATCAGCAAAACAGCAGAATTTGTTCAATGTTCAAGAGGGACTCATTGTTAAAGTGTTTAAAGACTGGGCTGTCAGCCAAAAATCTGGGTCTGAACGTGCGAATTGTGGCCGTCAGCAACTAGTCAATGTTAGGGCAGAACGGAGAGTAGCAAGACTGGTACAAGACAACAGAAGGGCAACAGTGCAGTGTCAGATTCCTCGCATCACCTTTCATCATCTCGTGGAGTCACGAGGTGGCCCAACGAAGTACTGATGGGGTGGTCATAATAATCTGGCCACTCAGTGTATATCTGTTGTATTTCTATCAGCACAGGTTTGTCAGACAAGGACATAGTTCACCGTACACCTTCAGGGTGTAACATGAAACATGGACAGATCGCAACCCCCCTCTCGCCCCCTTCTTAACTGAATTGTGGGGTTCATCTCCCTGCAGGCTAGTGTTCATTTTTTAATTTGGTGCGGTTATGCGTGGCTCAGCCCACACAGTCAAGTCCCATCAGCCATCATTTCATCTGTGAATTCACCTATTTGTCTGGAGTTCAGCTTTAAATGACCATTTACTTATATCACTAAAATAACTCGAGCCTCATTTTTATAAGGTAGGTCCATTGTCAGAATTATAAAGCACATACAACGAGCGTCTGTCATCATAGCTAAAAGAGAAAGCGCATTCATAATACTAATACACAAATTCCCAGTAGTTGCTTTTTTTCCCCATCAAGCATAAATGAGATTGGCATGGAGGGGGGGACGGAACAAAAGCTTTTGCTTCATTATGTTCCTTCCTAAGCCTGGGAGAATTACATTGGCTGAGCCTTGTAGTATTGTCTAAAAAGGAACCAAAACACATTATATCAATAGTCCTAGTGTAATGGCTGCTGTTCAGCACGACCCCATTCCCAGGACGCAGGCGGCCCGGCACAAAACAGCCGCTCATATAGTATCAGTGTGAATGGAAAGCAATCAAAAGTAATCTATTAAATAGGGGTTATATTATCATTACTGGAACATGCTTCGTACATTACACCCGCTGTAACTGATATTTCATCAAAAGAGCAGCTCTGGCCCTTTATTTAAACAAAGTAACTGGTAAAAAGAACCTGACAGCCATTAAAAACAAAATGAAAACGTACAATTCTGCACTAAGCTGCCAGGCTTTGCTTTATTATCCAGGGAACTTGCTTGGTTCACCTCTCTGATTAAAAGAGAACTATGGGGTAAGTGTTTTTCCCCATAGTTCTCTTTAGGGTCACGGAAGGACAAATACTAGTGTCCTCCCGTGACCCAAAGCTCAGTATATCGCTCTAATGTTGATTTCTTAGGATTGCTTTGCAATTGGTTATTAATTTAAAGGGGACAGTCTGCTGAACAGTTCTACTATAAGCTGATGGTCGCTAAAGCGACCATCAGCTTATAGTAGAACTGTAAATGCCAGGTCCGTACGACGTACTGAGCTGGCCAGCTGGAAGCACTTTTGTAGCTCCGTACGACGTACGTCCTTGGCAGCGAAAGGTAGCTAGTAGGAGTTAGTCACATTCAGCTGGACTTTCAGTTCTGTATTGTTGAAGGTGGTTCTTCACTCAATTCTAATGAGTGTTAGGAGCATATCACAGTATTTACTGTCACATAGGTAACTCAGCCACCATAAACCAATCACCATGGAATGTGCCAGGGCACAGGTTGATTGTCTAAGAACAAGCTTGGTATACTTGGTAACTTGGTATAAGTGGTCCAGTGTAGAGAGGGGCACAAAGAGAGGGACCTGTACATTGGGGAGACAAGCAACCTCTCAACAAACAGATAATCCAGCAAAGGAGGATGAAGTCTATAGGTCGGGATCTAGCAGTCCTTTCTAAGGGACATTCTTTTGAGGATAGCATGGTGCACATATTTGCAGAATAATCTGTCTGAAATGTTGCTTTATGCAAAAGACATACCTCTTGAGACCCAGTCTATGGGAACTTGCTGACTTCATAAGATCCACAGGCAGTGTCATTTCACTGTTATGACTCAGATGTAGAATCCAGTGTTGTTTTAGTTCAGCTTGGCAATACAGAGGATATTTTTCTTGTTTTTTCTTGTAGGCATTCTTATCGCAAAGCTTCCTTACTCAGCTCACTAAGCTAATCCTGAGCATGGAGAGACTGAGAGAGTCCAACCAGGAGCTGGTCTAACTAACAGCAAACCAGAAGGAGGTACACAGGAACACACCAATACGTATTAAATGTGCAGAACCGAACAGGCTGCTGTGGTAGCACACACGGACAGGACAACTGGTTTGGAAGAGGCACGAAAGAGACCATCTATATCAAACTGGAACAAGTATCCTTAAACAGGTGTAGGGGCCTTTCACACCATCTGTCACATATAATGCTGTTTTAACTTCTCTAGCTTGGCAAATTGACCCAATGTAATCTGAACAATCAACACCTGTTCCAGACTTCATGGCATCATGGAGTCTGGTATATGAAACAGAATAGGGTGGTTTGACAAACTTCCTATCATGCTTTTGGGACAATCAAGATCTGACTCGACATATTCCATATTGATTAGATCAAGGTGAGTTATTTGTCTGGTTATAAATGCTGGAGTAAGGCCCTGTGAATATTACAGAAGTCAAATTGAATGTGAATATTATTTGGTTATTACACAAGTTTTATTTACGCAGTAGTTCATGATCAGTCATATCCTCGCGGTGATGAATCTTACCTTTATACTGTACTTTCTGTGCTCTGTTGTTTGGACAGTCTCTCCCTTGTAAACTAAAGTTGATATTGGTTCGAATGCAGCGGTTATTGAGGGGCTGAACCGGTCTATAGTTATCACTCATGCTGGAAAAGATCTGCGATGGTTGGTTTTGGCTTAGTAGTCTTAAGGAATGCATCTGAAAAACCAGAAAACATTTAATAATTAGGGAAAAGTTGTTTCTTGTGGTTCTGACGTCCTGTAGGGAAAAACAAACAACAGAATCGATTAGGTTGGTCCCACATTGTTGGGTTGCGTTGAAGAAACCCTGTCCCTAGAACATTAATTTCAACAAAAATCTTCCCATAAGAATATTTGTACATTTAACGTATTTCATGCACGTTATTTACCTGTACAAGACCCCCTTGTGTAGACATCCAAATAATGTCCTGAGACTGCTGCTGGGTGCCTCCATCTTGGATGTGATGTCAAAGCCCCAGTAGACTGAGAGCTGTCACTCATGTGAAACTCTATACCAGCCTTTCTCAACCTTTTTAACATAAAGGAACCCTTGAAATAACTTTTAGGTCCCAGGGAAACCCTAATAAGTACTATATCAGAGGATGGAACCACAGCTCCCAGTGGGGAACACATGTAACAGACACTCCCAAAAGGCAGAATATGAGATACTAGCCAATGGTGAGGTGTGTATAAGAGTTCTTCTCTTGCTGGGAACTTCAGGTGAGACTGACATGGCCTCTTTAAAGTTATGGTCAAGAAAAGAAACTGAAAAGGTCTTTGTCAAAATATGGAATTTATTTCCTAAAACACAAAAAATAAAATGCCAATTAAAAAATTCAATGTCCATCACACATCCGACACACAAGGGATTAAGCACTAATTTTAGGATGGTGGGTGGAGCCATACAGTTCCTTTCTGTATTTCCCCTTGGCCAGCCATAGCTTGGATAGAGTTGACCTTTATAAGGCCATCCATCCAACTTACACACAGCAGTAACGGAGGGGAAAGCTTCCAATGGTGCCACCTGTTCTGGTACCAACTGTCTAAACGGGGGGTTCCTCTCACTACCTGTTGTGTCTCTGGGACAGGAAATGAAGGGAAATCTCCCCAGAAACAGGAAGAAAAGATTTTAACCATTTCCTACTATACACCAAAAAAATGTTTGTCTTCAGATACACGGTAAGGGAGGGATGGGGTTGACCCTCAGGTTAGATGACTCAATGATATATATACTGTATATCCATCTTTACTCTGGGGGCCTTCTATAGATAAGACACACTGTACGGAGGCACTTTAATCCTTCAGGCAGCTTTCTCATATCAGGCGATCACCAACTGAGACCTTAGATTTTATTCAAATATTAGAAACTGGGGAAGTTTGGTATTTCTTCCCGAAGAAATTGGAAGAAAGTGGCATCAGGTCAGGAGGTGTGCGACCCACCGACAGATAGTATTGTTTCCTTCCATTTCTGACAAACCGCCTGACATACTTCTTTGTGCTCCCACCTTATCACATTTTCTGTTCCATCTACTTTCTGAATACAAAAGCAAATCTTCCGGTGTGCTGAAAATATCTAAAAAACGCCTCTTAGTTCTTTTTGAAATGCAAAGGACAGACATGGTACTGAGTACATATAAAAGTAGTGCACATCTGAAGGTGAAGAAGAGAAAAGCAACCCAACCAGCGGGGCTGCAATTGCAGCGGTTAAGGAAAATCGTAGCTACAAAAAGTCAGATCATGTGAATCTGTGCCACCAGGTGTCAATAAAGTGTGACACCAAAATGGTTATTAATACATCATTAAATGAATTTTTTAAATGCAAGCAGTGTAAGAGCCTGAATAAGACTTGGTGTTAGCCTCTTGCAATTCCTGTATATCAGAGCTTAGGCTGGAAGAGGGAGGAGCAGAACAAGGAGCCAGTTCTGTGATGAGCTGTTCTGTGATGCTCATGTGCTAACTCTGCGGGAGCAATAGCTATTCTGCTGTTGGCTATTTCAAATTGCAATAGCCAATAGCAGGCTGGCTGTTGCTTCGCCCTCTGCCTTTCTGTCAATCAGCAGAGAACTTTCTCTCTCAGGTCCGTTCCTCTGCAGCCAGATATCAGCTTCTTTCTTTGTGTACATTCTGTAATAACTTTTTGATACTTTGTTGCCAGGATACCAGTCCTGAATGCCAGCAAACAGGCAGAGACAGCTGTCACAGAATGACGCACAGCTCTTCCGCTTCTTCTGAATTTCATTATCAAACATTCGGATACATTCGGATTAGTTATTTCTATTATTCAGAAATTCGGATGCACATGTCTAATCATTGATGTATCACCTGAAGTCCCAAATGATAAAAGGTCCATGTAATTGTCACGGGAGGGATGTGGCACGATTGATAAAATTTGGTCAGTCTGGTCAACCAAATAAGTTAGGTATGGCCGCTAAAAAGTTTGACCATCCATCCAGGGGCGTCCTAAGGCCAGGTGTCACCCAGATGGGATAACGGGTGACACCCTGCAGTGACGTCATCATGCACGCGACATTACCACGCGTGTGCGCGATTATGTAATCAGGCATGCACGACCATCCTGGTGATACCTGCTGGCGGTCATCTTGGAGATGGACACCGGCAGGGGACGTTCACCCGGCGGGATAGGTTTGCCGCTATGTCCCCTCCTCTTTCCTGCAACTGTCAGGCTCTCGGTCCACGACTTTTCAGAGGAGATGACACCAAAATACCTGTCAGTCATTTTGGTGTCAGCCCTCCAATGGTTGTGTATGGATATTTCTCCTGCACTCCTTACAGCATCTGGAACCAATAAGCAATGTGGTGCTCGTAGTGATGAATACGGATGTCGCTGTGTGTCTTCAAGTATAGAAAAATAGGAAGTCACCAGCACTCAAAATATCGTTTTCAGGTCTTGTCGATCATTTATTAATGTTACAAGTGTCAGAAAAGCCAACGTTTGGGGGCCACGCAGGGTCCCTTCATCAGGGCCACACAGTGTTTTTAAAACAAATGCGAAGGTCATTCAAAAAGTAGTGCCTTCATGTCTGTAATTTGAGACCTATTAGAGTGACTGTGAATGTTCATGTACCATGTTATAGAGGTGTCCTCACCCCACTAATGTATGCTTTCCTCTTTCAGATGGAGTGATTAGAACCATGGATCTGCGGCTAAAACCACAAGCTGTGATTGAATTTTTGGTGAAAGAGGGTTGCGCACCTAAGGAAATCCCAAATCGGCTAAAGAATGTTTATGGGGAAGCTGTTGTGTACAGTAGCAACGTGCGGCATCAGGTGAATAGGTTTCAAGAAGGAGAAACCAAAATTCTGTTACATTCCACACCCCCATTTCTTGTTCCGGTGTCACTGACACAGGAAGTGAAGGATAACCTCCCCAATGAGGGTCGCAGATATAAATGCAAACTCTTCCCATTCTATCTAAACCAAATAAAAAAAATTAGATGGAGTTGAGCTTTAAAAATGAATTTGGTTTTCCTGACACCTCTGTCTCTCCTTATGAATGCTACGTAAGTAAATAAGAGGCTTCATATACATGTGGGCTTATTAACTGCAGTGTCCCTGTCTTCATGGCAACAACGGGGACGACGGCTTCTTCTTCACTAATATAACCAAGGCTCTCTCGTCTCTTACCAGATCCCGTGTTCTACTTCTTTCCTTTTTGACCGATTTTTGGTTTATAGCCCTATTAATAGGCCAAGTTTTATTACCCGATGCAAATAGGCTTTTTTCAGTAATCACAGCTCCTCCTGAAACGTTTAATTCTTCATGCTCCATATAACCCTGATCAGTATGTAATTTCCTAGCAAGTAATTACAATAAACCTATAACGACCTATATAACAGTTGCTCCCCAGAGTCATGGACATCAGTGTCTACTTATAGCGAAGACAGTTGTTCCTCTATGGATAAGGGCAGGCGGTTCAGCATCCCTACCATCCACTTCTCAAGCGCTATGGTGCTTTAGGCAGATATTATGCACCAACAGGAAGACACAGTGCCTGATAAAAGCACTCCAATTTGCAGTTAATTAAGTTTTATGGAAGTCTTTTATTCGTGTTTATGGGGCTCAAATGACCAGCCGGGCACTGTGACAAGATTAGTCCATCCAGCAGTTTCTAACATGCAACCATACTTCATCAGGTACCTGGCAGGGAAGTTTCAGAGAGAACAGCCTGCAGCCAGCAAGTTAGCCTGCGTGCATCAGCCATTTTATTATTAGCTTTATTGTCCGTCATAAAACGAATGACAAAGACTAGATTTCATGCAGTGAGCATCAAACTAACATCTGTTGATTGCCAATTAAAGGGTCTGTCCACCCAGAATGAATGATTTAGTTGTTGGCAGATGCTGGAAAGGTAAACCCCCTTATAAGTCCTTCAATGGACTGTTGGTGAGATCTCTGTGCTGTTCCAAGGTCTACACACCTGCTGTGCCGACTTCCTGGGTCTACACACCTGCTGTGCCCATTATGAGGGATTCCCACCTTCCCAGTGCTGACTTCCTGGGTCTGCACACTTGCTGTGCCCATTATGAGGGGTCCCCACCATCCTTGTGCTGACTTCCTGGGTCTACATACCTGCGGAGCCCATTATCAGGGGTTCCCACGTTCCCCGTGCTGACTTCCTGGGTCTGCACATCTACTGTGCCCATTATGAGGGGTTCCCACCTTTCCATTGCTGGGTTCCTGGGTCCGCATATTTGCTGTGTCCATTATAAGTTCCTCCCACCATCCCTTAAGGATTATTATTTATTTTATACTATGGAGAATGTAACAGGAGGAGCCTGGATACACAATGGTGGTCAGGAACACCCAAAACTCCCAGGAGGACAAGAAAAAAAAGTCAAGAATTATGGTAGGGAAATCGTGAAGTTGAAGCATCTTGGACATATATGTTGTTTAGTGATACTTCCCTATGCTCTGATGTCCTTCTAGGTCAAGTGACCACAAAGCTCCGGCTTTCCAGCTCATTCCTCTCTCTCTCTCTCTATCTTCTTAGATCAGCATTGACAGCTCCTGGTGATGTACTAACCCAGGAGTGTGGAAATTAAAAAAAAACTACCTGTCCAAGGGCTAAAGTGGGGGCCGAATCTACTTGCCCCTCATGACAATCTACTTGTCCCAATACAAAAAAATATAGTTTTATTCAAAACTAGAGATGCACCAA